GACGGACGGACGGACGGACAGACAGTCACCGCTTAATCGATTTCTCTTTTCATTCTGATCATTTATGTATACATTTGTCTATATCTATCTCGATTCGTTTTGCCTGTTACAAACAACCGTTATGTGAACAAAGTTATAATACCCTTGTGCACAAGTGCGCTCGGGTATAAAAAGATTACAGAAAATAAGAAAAAAACGCAAATAAAAACCCAACAAAGACAAACAAAATGAAGCAAAAAATTTAAATTAAAAATAGAAGAAATCAAAACAATATGTATTAGGCAAAAAATAAATGAACATAAAAAACAAAATGATAAAAATTACAAAAAATCAGTAAAAAATACTAATGGCCTTATTCATAAAAAATAAAGTAGGTTTAAAGAGCTTTATAAAATGACGTTTTCATACATTTTTCAGTTTATAAACCTTTTTTAAAGCTACTTTATTTTTTATGAATAAGGCCATAATAATAAAAATTTCCAACGCATTTTTGTTACTTGCTTCCCTATAATTTTTAGTTTTATAAATTTTTGATTTTTTTTTTCTTTTACTTTTATATTTGTTTTCTAACTAAAAAATGAAGATAATAACACCGTTAGAATATTAAAAAATAAATGAACAAATAAAAAAATAAATAAATTAGCAATAAAAAAGTAAATTTATATTTAAGTAAAGGAGAAAAATGATAAAAATTTGCAGAAGAAAAATTAAAAAAAAACTAGAAAAAAACAATGTATATGAGCATTTTTACGAAACAGAGTTGCCACGTTAAAATGTAGGCGAAACTGCACCAGCCGCAGGGGTGTTCAGTTTCAAGGAAATTAAACTATGCACTTCATACTTTTGCTTTGAATCCAACTACTTTTTGCAATTGAATCGCTGTTGATGTTGTTGTCGAAGCAAAGGGAGAGGGGTTTTAGCTGAGTAGGGTTTAAGGGGGCTAGTAAAGAGGTGGTTGTTGTCGTGTGGGGTGCCTTCACAAGCTGGACATAAGACCCGTTTGGTCGCCGGTGAGTAGCAGGACACAGAGGACGAAGATACAGACATGCCAGAATACGGCGCTGCGGACCGCAACTTTATGCCTTCTCAGTCGCCACAGCAACACCTTCACGTCCAGGCTCAAATACCCCACTCCCGACCTTTGAATGTCGTTTTGGAAACACAACCACCCCACGTAGATGAGGCAGAGTTTTGTCTGCCTAGGCCCTAGGGAGACTCGCACCACCTTAGTCCAACTTCGCTCTGGATACTGAGGCAGGCTAAAGTCGTACCTGAGCAGAATAAACGCAGATGTGCCCAACGGGTGCCTGGCATGCGGAGAGTCACCTCATGACACGCGGCACCTCTGCGCGTCGCATGCCCCCAAAACCCCACTCAACTAACGCCTCTGTCCTTACGGACCAACCCAGTTGCAGTTGCTCACTTCCTGGTTCTCCTGGATTAGTTGAACTTGACGGAAACGATTGGGGGACAACCCGATCTAGGCAGAGTTGAGTAGCCGCTACAACAACAACCATATATATGTAAATTGGTATGTTGTTAAGTAGGAGCTTAGACTGCTATATTATTTAGAGTTATGCGGGTCTCTGAAGCGTCTGAAGTTCTTCGTTTGTGATGGGTGGTAGTTAAACTCCGCTGACGGCATTCGCGGGATTAGAGTTGGTCAAGATGGTGATTGTCGGCTGCTGTGGTTATGCGATGCATACAGGTATGGATTTCGTCCGCGAGTTCGTGCTTAGCAAGTGGCTCTGAGGGGGCAGCATTGAGGTTTCGCGATATAGGCGGTGTTCAGGCGATTTAAGAAGGCACCCCGTTTAGAATTGAGGACCTCGTTGTGGCTCTATACTTGATTGACAATTGCGCTGTGCCGTTGCAGCTTGACCTTCGTCCAGCCGGTGAAAAGGGTCGCCGTTAACTCTGAAGGGAAGAGCGTTAGGCTTCGTACAGTGAAAAGGATTATTGCTACAGGCCGATGCAAGCGATCAAATCAATTTTATTTGGAGAATTAGTATTTCGGCGCATACCTGGAGAGCCATTAGTTGGTACCAATACTTTGATGATATCTAAAACAACGAGGTGATGTTTTATAAAATTGTTTCCATCAACCTAAGACGAATTGCAAAGTACGTCAACGTAAACTTCTTTGCTTATATTCTATTGCGGCCTTTTCTACATTTTCCTTTCGGCGATCTCTACACGTACCTATATATTTATGTATCTCGGCCAATCTGGTTAAAGAAAAGCTTAAGAAGAAATTTCGCGGACTACATTTATTAAATTTTCTTATTTGTCTTATAATTTTTAATTAGTATAAAATTTAAAGCATTAAGTACATTAATACGAGTAACCTTTATGATTTCTATTTACTCCTCTTCTCCCCCCACCGACTTCACTTGATCGGCTTTCTTTATTATCTCTTCCAATTCCTTGCGCAAACGCTCTGTGCCAGCGCATATTAAATCTGGTTTCATAATATCAAACGGTCCTCCATAGGGATGCGTTACAACGCCACCAGCTTCACGTATAAGCAAATAGCCGGCAGCACAATCCCATGGATACATGTCTTCAATATGAAAGGCATCCAAATTTCCGGCAGCCACCATGCACAAGGAATCCACCACACATGCATAGGCGAGTAATCTGTGAATGAGAAATTTGAAAGATGTAAAAATGAAATGCTGAGTATATTATTGAGAAGAGTTGAATATGAACTTGATAAGAGCGTGCAATTTAAGTGTTTTGCAATACGACTTCCCAAGAGATTGTTATAGCTCGTAGCTTCTCAGCTTTTGCCTTTTGTATGAATTTATTGTTTTGCTGTTTGTATTTAGTTTCGATTTTTCGCTTTACTATTTTTCTTATATTTTATTTTATTTTTGTATTTGTACGTCTAATTGCATTCAACGCTGGACGTATTCTTTTAATGCACTTGAATATGCAGAACATACAAAGTTTAATTTATTCATAAAATCAACAATTGTAAATTGCAAGCGTGCACTTTTTTTGTTGTATGCGAATTTTTATTAGGGACTGGCTGTCGTAAATAAAGGGTAAAGTCTGGTACGGGTGGTATAAAATCATAAAAAACGGACAGTGTTACAGGCGATTTTATCTAATTTTGGTAGACTGTAGAACGGAAGTCTGCTCGTTTCAGCTGAAAAAAAAACTAATTTCTTTCTGTTTGGGGTTAAGCGATTTTGGCCAAGTTCAATAAAGCACGCCGGTCTTTTCACCTCTGCGCCAACTGACACCAATTGGAAATGTCAAAAGAAGCCCAAGTCCCTCGTCACAATCGCAGTGGAGGCCTCCCTCTTCTTTTGCTAGCACCAGCGTCTTCCGAGTTGAATACTTTCAGGGCTGGAGCGCCTGTGTTCATTCGGACGACATGGACAAGTCAGCAGGCTCGATGCTGATATTTTTATCGGTGTTAATGTGACATGGGGGACAGGGCGCAAATGCTGTGACTGATTGTTTGATTACTGAAAATAATTCGTATTGTCTTATTATGTCCAACGTCGGATTAAAAAAATTCACATGACAAGGAGTCGATCTGTCCCCCCGGCTCGGAGAGGTCTTTCCGAATTCTGACGGAACTGGTGGTATTGCTCTGCATCATTTTACACAGCCGTATAAGTTTCCCAGGGATAAAAAATTCAGACATCGCGGCGTTTTGGTCACTCCTTTTATGGCTGCCGGAAGCGGTTTTGAAGTCGACAAATAGATGGTGAGTCTTGACTCTTTTCTCGCGGGTCTTTTCCAAGATTTGACGTAAAGCGAATACCTAATCTATGGTGAATTTACTAGGTTTAAAGCCGCACTGATAAGGTTCAATAAGTTATTTGGCGGTGGGCTTCAGTTTTTCACGCAATACGCTCAATAAGACCTTGTAACCTATGTTTAGAAGGCTGATGCAGCAGTAGTTGGCGCGTATGGCGGGGTCGCCTTTCTTGTGGATTGGGCCGAGCACGCTAAAATTCCAGTCGTTGGGCATAAGTTCATCTGACCATATTTTGCATATGAGTTGGTGCATGAACCTTAACAACTCCTCGTCGCCGTACTTCAATAGCTCAGCTGGTAGGCCGTTAGCTCCAGCAGCTTTGTTGTTTTTCAGCCGCGCAATTGTTATTCGTACCTCGTCATAGTCAGGCAGTGGAACATGCCATTCCATAATTTAAATACGTCCTGGACATCGGCCACCATGGTTCTTCTTACAGAAGTTGGAACCTGCCGTAAGTCACCTAATTCATGTCGGCCAGCATTTCAAGATCTTCGCATTCACGTATTTCGGCCACTCTTCTTATTGGAGCAAATCTCGTTTCTCTCTTCAGCTCCCAGCGTAGCCCTGTAGGCGATATCTTTTTCCGGTGCAGCTTCGTGAGATTCCATAGGGGCTCCCGCAGTGTACATACACTTGTGATCAGCTAATTAAGCCAGCAACATTTTGATCAATCTTGGCTATTTTGCTTTCGTTTATTTAATGTTTATTATTTTTTCATAAAAGTCTAGCTCATTATTACCCTAGAATTTAATGGGCTATTAAACTGCATACTCAAAAAAATTAAAAAAAATCTGATTAAAAAGGTGAAAATTTAACTGAAACTTTGCAGATTTTTCATAATTTTTTTTTACAAAGCTTGAAATCTGGATTTATGTGGTGTTTGTTATATGTTGAGCTAGAATTTTATAGAAAAATAAAAAACATTAAATAAACAAAAGAAAAATAGCCAAAGTTTATCAAAATGTTGCTGGCTTAATTAGCTGATCACAAGTGTATGTTTAAAACACTGGAAGTGTGCCTTCCGCCTATTATAGCAGGATCGATTTGGTTTCTCGTTTTTCGATTTGGAGACAGCCACTTAGTTTTGTGGATCTTTTTATTCTTGAACCAAGTACTGCATATTACCATGTTTTGGGCCCCTGCGAAGTCAATCAACCTCAGTACGTTATCGGACGTTTCGTTGCAGCGGCTGAATTTCCCGACGGTGGTTACAAAGATCCTTTCCTTGTTCACCCTGGCATTGAAGTAGCAAAGCATGATTTTTATATAGTGACGGGGACACGGCTCGTATGAGTTTTCCAAGCGCTCATAAAGGAGATCCTTGGATCCTTCGTCCTTCTATTCCGTTGGGGCGTTGGCGCAGATGAACGAGATATTAAAAAATCTCCCTTTGATGCAATTTGCTCGGTAAACAAATACCATTCGTTGAACAGGCGTCCTACCTATTATTGACATGCCAGCTTCGGGCTAACGTTCGTGAATTGTAACATTAAATCTAAGCTTAGTAAGGTTCTAATTTCGACATACTTTTGTGCTTGTGAATGTAACATTCGGTAACTTGAATTCACGGCTTGGCACCCCATAGCCGAAGTGACTTATCGTTAAATGCCGAACCCTTTGAAGCCGTTGCTTTCAAAGCCTTTCAAAGTTCGTTAGCATTAAATATGTAGGAAGAGCAAGTTTGCTTTCCATTTAGTACTATTTACGCATCTCCATAAAAGAATCAGACATTGTAATTAAGTACCTCATCAACAGATTGCCGAAAAGGTCTCTGTACGCGTTAAGCTTGGTCAATAAATATAAGCTGTCTCCCAGTTGAGGTATTTTAAATGTACCAGTAGGAAATAGCAGCCTTACCAGCAACGTGCACCTCACCCGGCGGTCCTTACCACTTCCCTGCCGAATCTCCATTACTTTAATAAAGGTGTAGCCGCCTTATGGAAGTAGGAATTTAAAATGTAAATTTGGTATTAGAAATACTTCTGAGCCGCTTTACCAAGTAAGGTACATAGAATGTTCAGCAGTCGCTCGGCGTAGTTCGGCGCTCGGAAATAATGTAAGGCGTCATTGGAGGTGTTCATTTTGTTCTTTCCTATTCGACGACATTAGTCATTGATGACAATTTTAAATAGTACTAAAAGCTGAGAGAAAACATGGAATGCCACATAAGGTGCTTACCTATTTTCTCAGTGGGGTATTACGTAAACACACACATACATACATAAATAAACTTAATTACACCTAGCGGAGATTGCAAAATATGTAGTAAATATTTTAGTAGATAATCGCTGCGCTTATAACTGTCGCGCGTTAAGTAATTAAACCCAAATGCGGCTGGTAACTACATAAATATGTATGTAGACTAAACAGCTTTGTATCGCATAAAAGTCTGTAATCTTACCTTCTTGCTTGCATCCCTATGTGATAGATTCGCTTTATATGTTTATTGCGTATTTTATGTGCATGCAACAGCGACACTTCGTACGCCACATTCGCTTCGTTCATCTGTAAAGTTTATTAAAATTTATTAGGTACTACACAAATACATTCAATGCGCTTCGTTCTAATTACACAACACTATGTAGCTGCTGCCCTATCCGCACCCCCTACTACACTCACTCCTCACTCATTTACTCACATTATCTACACTGCTCACTTGTATGCGCTTGCCATTGCAAAATGCGCCACCACCCAGTTTTGTTGTGTAGATTTTCTTTTGCACCGGATTGTTTATTATGCCCAAAACGATCTGCTTATTCACCGCCAAACCAATTGAGATGCAGACATGCGGTATCTGTTTGATGAAATTTGATGTGCCATCGATGGGATCAATAATCCATGTGGGTGCATCAGTTAGTTCTTTTGTCACATGATTATTCTTCGCTGTATCCTCTTCGCCGATGAATTTGTGATCGGGATATCGCGCCAATATTTGTTCAATTAGAAATTCTTCGATCTTGTTGTCATACTCGGTGACTACGTCATAGAATGCTGTCTTTATGTTGACCTGCTTGCCGGCCGCCTCATAGCCCTCGAGTAGAATTTCACCAGCGCTCAGTGCAAGCGGATACATGAAGTCATATAATTCGTCGATCAGCTGAGAGGTAGCCATTTTTTGCGGCAGTGATTATACTTTTGATTGCTATTTTTAAACTAATTTGTATTCAACGTTTTTTTGTTTTTTTTTTCCTTTAAGTGCAGTGAATGTGTGTCTGCACTTTTGAATTGTTATTTTTTCGTTCGAAGCTACCTTTTCGAAAAAAATACGTTAACCAGCTTCACTGTTCACAAATCAACTGAATGTTGTGTTTATCAAATACGAACTCGTATGTTATGGGAAGAATGCCGACTCTGTCTCCACCGGTTTTGCCGCTGCTGTTATATGTACATATGTATGCACATACATATATGCGTCCATGTATCTCATTATTCTGTATTTTTTGTAGTGTTTCACCAATTAAGTAATATTTTTTTTTTCAAATTCTAATTACTTTTTGTTTTCAGTAATAAAAATATGCATGCTACTCAGTAACAAGTACAGGGTGATCTAATACAGTTAGCATCAAAATATGCACACCCCGGCGTTTTGACAATTTTATTTATTTATATTTTCCATACCAAATTTTTCTTATTTTTTATAAGTATATATGTTTATTTTTTAACAGCAAAAACCATAAGAATATTTTTTTTTTTTTTAATTTCATACAGGACTCTTCCTAAGCTCTGCATGAAATTAAAAAAAAAAATTAATTCTTGTGGTTTTGCTGCTGAATGAACTATATTTTTTATAAAAAATTAAGAAAAAATTTTGTATGGAAAATATAATAAATAAAATCTTCAAAACGTCAGAGTATGCATATTTTTCACGCTGACTGTATATGCAAAAGAAGAATAACATTAACGGTTTTTATCAGGGACCGTAACGGTTATAACTTTTAACGATTATTTTTTGAGTTTTATTTTTTTTTTTTTTTTCAAAAATAATCGTTATTTTTAGAGTTTTACTTTTTGATGAGAAAATATTAGTTATATTTTTAGTTTTATATTTTGCTTGGTACATGATTTTTTTTTTAAGTTTAAATTTTTGCCTAGCAATTAAAATAGAATTTTATTTTTTTTTTTGCATAGAGGGCAAAAGTAGCTTCTTTTGTTTTCCTTAAGTCGGGAAAATGAACTAAAAAATCGTGAAAAAATCATTAAAAAAAAAAATACGAAGACGAAGGTAAAAACGATTAAGACGGCGACAAAAACCCATATGGCGACGAAGACATATACGAACACGAAGACGATCACGAAGCGGAAAATAAAAACGAATTCGATTACCCAAAGAAAGACCGACCGCTACGAAAATGGCAGGGATAACCAAGGTAAATACGAATTGGAAAACGAAAACGAGTAAGAGGACCATTTAAAAGCTGAAGACTAGGATAAGTGTGAAGGAGACGACGAAGACTTATGAGAAAACAAATAGGAACCCGAAGACGAATAATAATACGAACACGAAGGCATATGCGAACACGAAGTTGACGACTGCCGAACAACGTTTGATGGATTTCACCGACCTAAACGGGGTTATATCGCCGAAACAATAGCTCTTGGTCGGATCAAACCCGATCCATTCCGGTACGTAGAACCGATTGTCGTGGGAATGCAGCAGGTTAAACTCATACCTGAGTAGAATAAACGACGATGTGCCCAACCAGTGCCCGGCATGCGGAGAGTCGCCACATGACTCACGCACCTCTTCGTATGCCCCCAAAACCCCACCCAGCTAACGCTCCTGTCCCTATGGACAGCCCCTATCGAAGTTGCACACTTCCTGGGCCTCCCCGTAGCTGAACCGGACGACAACGCAGATGGATGAGCCGAGTCGAGCGGGGTTTAGTTACCCTTACTATTACCATTACTATTAGCATTAGCATTACATATACCAATATCTTTACCACTTTCCTTCTTCTTATTTAGCATAACAACCATTTGTCGGTTTGGGACGAGACCTCACAGGTTCGGCGAATTCCTCCTTCCTGTGCGGATATGCCCCAACTGTTCTTCCCAAGTGCGGACAGGTCCTTCTGCACTTAGTCTCTCCATTGTGTTAGTGTGTGCCCTTGATTTCTCTGTCGACTCATGGGCACCGAGTTGAAGGATCTTTTCACTGGAGCGTCGTTATCCATGCGTATAAACATGGCCAAATCAGCGCATGTTGCATCAGCATACAAATTCTTTAAAGAGTTTTGGGTGAGAGTTACTGGAGTGAAAGTCCTTGGCCAGATATAAATCTGGGTCGTTCCGGTTACGTAGACCCAACTGTCGTAGGAACGAACGCAATCGTTCCCTTTTTATGCGCTTACTGGACCGTAGTAGCACTTTCTCATCTTTATTATACATACATTGCTCACGATTCTGCGCCATATAAAATAACAGACTTCTGGGTGAGATTTTTTGTTCGTCGATGGAGGGCTCGGCTTTTCACAGTAGCACCTGTTGCCTCACTATTCTGGCTGAAATGACTTTCAGTGTAGGTGGCAATATTAACTTTTTTTTGTAACTTCGAGACCATGTTTAGGGTTTCAATTCCTATTAAACACCGATTGTTCTTGTTACAGACGTTCTCTGTTGTCCTCTTCATACTCTGGTTCGCCAAGCATGATGTCGAAGTGTTTGGTGCTGAGAGGACCTTGCCCTCATCCTGAACAGTTGCTTTCCTTTTTTGTGTACCTGGTCTCTCGCCAGTTCTGCTTTCTCAGTGCTGATAAGCGCCGGTCAATGTTAAGCCTCATCCTGATAGCATCGCTGTGCCCGTATTTGTATTGTGTCTCATTGAACTGGAGGTATACGTACGACTCAAAGTCCATTGTGCCGTGGTGACGGTGTCGCCTTAGTTATCGGTGACCGGATTGCTTCAAATAAAATGGATGTTGGGCTGGTGGCCACCATGATATTCCACGATAAACCGGTTCGATTCCAGAATGAAAATGTTGTATCCTTTCACATACAGTATCTGGCTTTCTTCGTGGAAGATGATCGGACGACATGATATAGCAGTCCATAGCCGTACGTGAAACTACATTCTCGTATGTTTGGAGATATCTCTACTGCGCGTCACTTGTTCCTGTTAACCAAACTGGCGGTGCATAGTTTACCTCTAACCAGCTGGTCGCCTTGCACGTTCCTAGTCCCAGACGCCTGCTCCTGGCACGTAGTTTGATGCAAGTGGCGGAGATATACATACGTTGATAAGGAGAAAAGGTTATATTCTACGACCGTTGGACCGTGGACCGTTCACAGTCGTTATTTTTGAGGCACCCCTCGTATTTTGAAACTAAGTCCTAGCAGAAATATTGAGGGTTGTGGCACTAAAGTAATAAGAAAGATCGGAGAGATAGTTATTTTACTGCAAAGGCTGTCGATGCTTGCATCCATCGCAATGTTTGTGAAATCGTCTGCATAGCCCTCTTAGTTGACTCCGGTTGTCGCCAAAGAGAGCTCGGCCAGTAGAGTTTAAACAGCTTCACGGAAGTCTACGCGCTTCTGAATTCAACTAACGGTTGACGTCCACACAAATAGCTGGTTGTTCAGCATTTCATCCGATCTGGAAGCGACGACTCTAGGATAACTTGGCAATGGGTCGCATGGTTAACCACATCAAATACATTCGATATGTTAACCGCGACTACAACCATCCTATCGCAAGATCGACATTGGTTAAGACCCACAAATGGCTGTGTGGCATTGGCGGTCAACATTGTGCATCTTCTGGAATCCGTGCTGGTTTTCTGCTAATTTTAGACGCTTAATCAGCGCAGAAAGAAGTGCTTCCATAGGTTATTTATTACGGCTGGGGTATATAGTAATGATACTAAATTTAGCTGATTTCATAACGCCTCCGGGCATTCACGTGGCTCGCCAAAATCAAGGTACTTCGCATAAGATTAGCTGCCTTCCCGATATGACTGTCTAATTTGTTGGCTGCAGAAACCAGCACATGTACTTTTCTTCATCTTATATTTAGCGCCATTGGAGTAACAAGGAAAAGATTGTGTGAATTATATACATATTAACACGCCGAGAATGATAAAAGTATTCAATACGTTAAACGAAGTATAACATTTAGTCAAGGGTGATAGAAACGAAAATTTCGTAAAAAAAAACATCTGAATTCGGTATTTAACGGATTTAATAGAAGAGATGTAGTGCCTGGAAGTAGAAATCGCATCGGAAAAATCACTATTTAGCTTAATCGAACTAATACTTATAAAACAATAGATTTCTCCTCAGAAGCATGAGCCTACACTGAGAAGAGTTTATTTTAACACGTCAACTAAATATATTTCTCAAGATATTTTAACACCAAACAATATCACTGATGGAACTTAGGTACTCCAGAAATAAACTGGTAAAACCTATCGCTCCTCGGACTACAATTCCAAAGGTAATTTCGTAGCACCCTTTATTGACTGAAAGTATACAGTGAACTTTTTCTGCTACTGTACATCTTTTATCGATCTTCTTATCAGTCAGTTGATGTTGACGGTTGCTTCTTCATTTTTACCATTTATGCCAACAAAAGTCAGTAGCAAAGACGTAATAGGAGAGCGACTAAATGGAATATCTTTTTTTTCGTGGGTGCAGTTTTCAATAAAAAATAATGACTTGTTTTAGAATGAAGGAAGATTATATTGATAACAATTTTTACGATTTTATGTGCCATTCACAATGAGCAGCCAAAAATTTGTTTGATTCTTTAGTTTTTTTAGGAAAATATTAAAAATATTTTAAACACATTTAGTAACTTCTTTACACTATGTATTTTGATGCTTTGTAAAAATAAGCAAACCCTAAATTATTTTGTATCGCAACACTTCCTAACTTTTAACTCTTTTTCCAATCCAAATTTAGGGTCCACCGGCTCCCGGTCAGGGCCCACCACCTGGCGATCGTCCCGTACAGGAAAGTCTTACTGCACTCCAACGCGCCATTGACACCATGGAGGAGAAGGGCTTGCAGGAAGATCCCCGCTACTCGCAGTTACTGGCCATACGCGCCACCTCAAAACATCAACATCTCACTGGCAATCAAGTAAACATGTTGCGCGCTCAAATTACCGCATATCGACTGTTGGCGCGCAACAAACCAATCTCCATGCAAATGCAACAGCAATTGGCACCGCCACAGCAGCAGCAACAACAGCAGCAGGCTGGCGTACCCCCAGGTCCCCCTGGACCGCCAGGCCAACATCCGTCAGTGCCAGTGCAGCAGCAACAACCTGGACTAAGTGGCGCACCTCCACCAGGTACCGCTGGCAGTGTAGGCACACCACCGCAGTGCCCAACACCGCCGGCCAGTCCTTACGTTCAGCAACAGGTGCCGGGCGGACCTAAGCTACAAGCACCACCTCTACCACATGTGCAGCAGCCACCCATGGCGCCAGGCGGTGCTCCACCGATGCCGCTACAACAAGACGTGTCGCATCAGTTGCCCAATGGCGCCGGCGGCAAACCCAATGCCGGTCCGCCTGCAACAATGATGGCCGGCGGACAACCGCCCATTTCGACACCAATGCCAGCTACAATGGCACAAGGCGTGCGCCCGGGCATGCCGCCGGGTCCTCCCGGTATGCCGCCACAGGCACCGCCCGGCATGCAAGCACCAAAGCAAGGTGCACCACCGCCCCAGCAGCCCATGCCGAAGCCGAATCGCGTTACCACAGTTGCCAAGCCGGTTGGGTTGGATCCGATAACTTTGTTGCAGGAGCGTGAAAATCGCATAGCTTCGCGCATATCGTTGCGCATGCAGGAATTGCAGCGACTGCCCGCTACTATGCCGGAGGACTTGCGGCTGCAGGCGGCCATTGAGTTGCGCGCATTGCGCGTGCTTAATTTTCAACGTCAGCTGCGCGCTGAAATTGTGCAGTGCACGCGTCGCGACACCACGCTAGAGACAGCGGTCAATATTAAGGCTTATAAGCGCACGAAGCGACAGGGGTTGCGAGAGGCGCGTGCCACAGAGAAGCTGGAGAAACAACAGAAATTGGAGGCGGAGCGCAAGCGTCGCCAAAAGCATCAAGAGTTCTTGGCAGCTGTGCTGCAGCATGGCAAAGACTTTAAGGAGTTTCATCGCAATAATAAAGCGCAGCTGGCGCGTGTGAACAAAGCTATTATGAATCATCATGCTAATGCGGAACGCGAGCAGAAGAAGGAACAGGAGCGCATCGAAAAGGAGCGTATGCGACGTTTGATGGCCGAGGATGAAGAGGGCTACCGCAAACTTATCGATCAGAAGAAAGATAAACGCTTGGCATTCTTGCTGTCGCAAACCGACGAATATATTTGCAATCTGACACAGATGGTGAAGCAGCACAAGGATGATCAGAAGAAGAAAAAGGAAGAGGAAAGCAAGCACTTGCTGCAATATAAGAAGGATTTGCTAATGAGCGGCGAGTACATGAATATCGATGAGAGCTGCATCGCGGCCGACATGCGCGTCAGTGTGGTGGAACAGGCCACAGGCGCGCGACTTTCAGGCGAAGAAGCGCCAACGCTGAAGAACTTGCACAGCTGGCTGGAGCGTCATCCCGGCTGGGATTGGATTGAATCAGACTCGGATGATGAAGGCGATGTAGATATGCGTGACGCTAACGCCAAGGAGCACGATAAATCAAAGGAAGAACAGGCAGAGAAAAAAGAGGAAGCTGAAAACAAAGAATTGGAAAATGTCGACGACGCCAAGGACTTTATTAAGAAAGTTAAAGTTGAGGATGACGAGTATCGTACCGAGGAGCAGACATACTACAGCATTGCGCATACCGTACATGAAAAGGTCTACGAACAGGCAAGCATCATGGTTAATGGTCAATTGAAGGAGTACCAGTTGAAGGGTTTGGAATGGCTGGTGTCGCTGTATAATAACAACTTGAATGGCATTTTGGCCGACGAGATGGGTTTGGGCAAGACTATACAGACAATTTCGTTGGTTACCTATCTAATGGACAAAAAGAAGGTAAGTGCGCACAGTGATAAATCCGTTTATTTATATACCATTTTTATTTAACGTTTTCACTTTCTTCTCCAGGTCATGGGCCCCTATCTTATCATTGTACCACTCTCGACTTTACCGAATTGGGTGTTGGAATTCGAAAAATGGGCACCTTCTGTGGCCGTTGTCAGCTACAAGGGCAGTCCACAGGGACGCCGCTTGTTGCAAAATCAAATGCGCGCCACCAAATTCAATGTGCTGCTCACCACCTACGAGTACGTTATCAAGGATAAGTCGGTACTTGCTAAAATCCATTGGAAGTACATGATCATTGACGAAGGTCATCGTATGAAGAATCATCATTGCAAGCTCACACAGGTGCTGAACACTCACTACATTGCGCCATACCGTTTGCTGCTCACCGGCACGCCGCTACAAAACAAATTGCCTGAACTGTGGGCTCTACTGAATTTCTTGCTACCATCTATTTTCAAGTCCTGTTCCACTTTTGAACAGTGGTTCAATGCACCCTTTGCTACCACAGGCGAAAAGGTCGAATTGAATGAGGAAGAAACAATTTTGATTATTCGTCGTTTGCACAAAGTGTTGCGTCCCTTCCTGTTGCGTCGTCTCAAAAAGGAGGTAGAACATCAATTGCCCGATAAGGTCGAGTACATCATCAAGTGCGACATGTCTGGGCTGCAACGTGTGCTCTACAAGCATATGCAGAGCAAGGGCGTGCTGCTCACCGATGGTTCGGAGAAGGGCAAGCAGGGCAAGGGTGGCGCTAAGGCTTTGATGAACACCATTGTACAACTGCGCAAGCTCTGCAATCATCCCTTCATGTTCCAACACATCGAGGAGAAGTATTGCGATCACACCGGCGCACACAGCGTCGCCTCTGGACCAGATCTATACCGTGTCTCGGGCAAGTTTGAATTGCTCGACCGTATTTTGCCGAAGCTAAAGGCCAGCAACCATCGGGTGTTGCTCTTCTGTCAAATGACACAATGCATGACTATCATCGAGGATTATTTGAGCTGGCGTCAATTTGGTTACTTGCGTTTGGACGGTACCACTAAGGCAGAGGACCGTGGTGAATTGTTGCGCAAATTCAATGCAAAGGATTCGGACTATTTTGTATTCTTGTTATCGACACGCGCTGGTGGTTTGGGTCTTAACTTGCAAACCGCCGATACCGTTGTCATCTTCGATTCCGATTGGAATCCGCATCAGGATTTGCAGGCGCAGGATCGTGCACATCGTATTGGTCAGCGCAATGAAGTGCGCGTATTACGCTTGATGACGGTCAACTCGGTGGAGGAGCGCATCTTGGCTGCTGCACGCTACAAATTGAACATGGACGAAAAAGTCATTCAAGCTGGTATGTTCGATCAGAAATCAACGGGAAGCGAGAGACAGCAATTCTTGCAAACGATTTTGCATCAGGATGACAATGAGGAGGAGGAGGAGAATGAGGTGCCCGATGATGAGGTGATTAATATGATGATTGCGCGTAGCGAAGAAGAAATAGAATTGTTCAAGAAGATGGATATCGAACGTAAGAAAGAGGATGAGGAGCTGCATCCAGGCAGAGAGCGTTTAATCGATGAGTCAGAGTTGCCCGATTGGTTGACGAAGGATGACGATGAGGTTGAACGTTGGCATCAGTACGATGAGGATACAATTTTGGGTGAGTGATTTATTTTAAATTGATATAAGTAAGCTTAAAAATTTCGCAGTGCTATTTTCTTTATAACTCGTGAGCTTTTCTTTCACAAACGATATTCTCACACTTCATTTGAAGTTACTAAAAATAAAATCTTCCCTTTTTAGGTCGGGGCTCTCGCCAACGTAAAGAGGTTGACTACACAGACAGTCTCACCGAGAAGGAGTGGTTAAAGGCCATCGATGATGGCGCCGAATTCGAAGAAGAGGAAGATGACGAAGATGCCAAGCGTAAACGACGCAAACGTAAGAATCGCAAAGATGATTCCGAAGAAGATGAGGTGATTATGAAACGTCGTCGGCGTCAAAATATTGACAAGCGTCTCAAAAAGCAAATGAATAAGATCATGTCGGCAGTCATTAAGTACACCAATGAAGATGGTCGCCTGCTATCCGAACCGTTCATGAAGTTGCCGTCGCGTCAACGCTTACCCGATTACTATGAAATTATAAAACGCCCGGTAGATATCAAAAAGATATTACAACGCATCGAAGATTGCAAATATGGCGATATTAATGAGCTGGAGAAGGACTTCGTACAGCTCTGTCAGAATGCACAAATCTACAATGAAGAAGCATCTCTCATTTATCTCGATTCTATTGAACTGCAAAAAGTATTTGTGACTGCACGTTCACGCGTTACTGCTGCCGCGGCAGCAGCTGCCTCAGCTGCAGCTGCAGCTGGCAATGAGTCGACAAGTGGTGGTGGAGGTTGCGGCGCTAGTGGTGGTGGTGGTACTGCTGCTGGCTCAGAGGCTTCCGATAACGAGGAGGAGGAGATGGGCGACGATGCTTCCGAAGATGAAGAAATTCCAACCACCTCTACTGCGGCGGTGAAAATGAAGTTGAAATTAAACAAGTCGCTGCCGAGCGCACCGGCTACACCAACACCGGCACCACCAGTGCCCACCAGCGCTGCTACCACTTCCAAGAAGCAAACGCGCCGTAAACGTTCCCAGAAGAAATACACAATTTTCGATGATGATGACGATGACATAGATTAGCTGCCGTTGGGTGTAGTATTTGCGCGCAGTACGCAGCATGCTTGTGAGGAAGGAGGGAGCGTGGCGGCGACGGCAACTGGGAAGAAGCTGAGGGAGATGAGACATGATGATTATGATAGTGATGATGATAATGAGGAGTAGGCTGCATTGCTAAAGTTGGAAAATTTAATTGGAATTTGGTATCTATTGAAAATTGCAATTTACTATTTAACCTGCATCATACATAGCAATTTGCAAATTTCAATCTATTAGTTTATATGCAGCACAATATATTTAAACATACTATTTTATTCTGCTCATTTAAATGCAAATGCATGGCTATAGAAGTAGAATAAAATAAACAAAAAACAACACAACTATCTACTTGATGAAGTGAAACTTCTTTAGCGGCGGTTGGTTGGGTGGGAGTAAATTGGCAAATTCAGCGGAAATTGCACACGGAAATGGTGCAACGGAAATGATGCAACGGAAATGGTTGGGGCTGAAACAAGTACTTCTTGTGTGTATGCAAAGGAAATGATGCAACGGGAATGGTGCAACAGAAATGGTGCCACGGAAATGGTTGGGGCTGAAACAAGTACTTCTTGTGTGTATGCATATGGTATGAATTTAACAAAAATTTGCTAATAAAAGGTTAGAGGATAGCACTTAGAAATAACAATACAAGAATGAAAGTAAAGATGAGTACGTACATAGATAAAGAAAATTATAAAGGCAAAGGTAAAAATAAAAACAAAAACAAAAACAAATATGTGTAAAGATAAAGGTAAAAACGAAAACCAAGGTAAATTTAAACACTTTACTTATACATATATATAAGGGCAAAGGTGAAGGGTAGGTAATATGTTGATGAAGAAAATGATCAACATAAAAGTAAAAAAAGATGAGGATGAGTATACCGATAAAAGTAAAGATGGAGATAGGGGAAGAAAGATTAATATAAAGGTAATTAAAGAAGAAAGGATATAGAGAGAGACGCAGAGACGCAATCTGGGAAGTATTTTGGGATTTTAGAGATTTTCGAGATTCTTGATACTTACCGATTAAATAATCGATATTTTCATCGGTTTTGTAATCGATATTTATCGATTTTTACTGATTTTGTTATCGATATTCATCGATTTTGTTATCGATATTCATCGATTTTGTTATCGATAATTATCGATTTTGTTAGCAATGTTTATCGATTGTGTTATCAATATTTATCGATATTTGTTGATTTTGTTATCGATATTTATCGATTTTGTTATCGATTTTGTTACCGTTATTTTCGACTTTGTTAGCGATATTTATCGATTTTTTTATCGATATTTATCGATTTTCTTATCGATATTTATTGATTTTGTTATCGATATTTATCGATTTTCTTATCCGTATTTATCGGTTTGTTTTATCGATATAAATCGATTTTGTTATCGATATTTGTCGATTTTGTTATCGATTTTGTTGTCGATATTTTTTATTGATTTTCTAATCGATTTAGCTACCAATGGTATTATCGATGTTGCTATTGAAATTTTTATCGAATTTGTCTTCGATTTTGTTATCGACATTTTGATGGACGTTATATCGATAGAGTATGAAGATAATGGAAAAACAGAATAACATGAAGTTATTAAAACGAACAGTGCTAGAGGTACAGATCTACATTGATAGAAAAAAAGCGATAAAATATAACCTTAATCAAAAGCAGATGTGTGTATGTATAGATAGATAAGTAACGTAAGTTTCACTTCTACAGTGTGGCCCAGGCGCTCTTATTTTTTTCTATTTAATTCTTATTAATTGGAAATAGAAGTTTCTTTTCGGTGCCCTACCGGTTTAAATATCGATCCTTTTTGTATCAGGCAGGCTTTTCAAATAATTTAAGAACGTTTCCTTTTATTCCAACGACTATGAGGTGTCACTTTACAAACAAACAAGTTGATTAAAACCGGAATTGTTTCCATGACAGCCAGTTCTACGTAACCGGAACCACCCAGATTTATATCTGTCCAAGGAATTTCACTTCAACTTCATTCGCTAAAAACTTTTGGGGATTTGTATGCTGCTACAACTACAACATCATTAAAATCGGAATATGGGAATATCTGAGGTTTCACATAGGGAAAATTTTGTTTGTTTAATTTGCTGTAATCGACTGACCGCAATACCACAAAAGCTGAAATTTTAATATTTTGTTTAAGCGGATTATGTGTTCATAACTTTTGTATATGCATATTTGTATGTATATAGTAACATAATAAATGGGTACGTGTACCATTACTCAAACCCCTAGTCTCTCCTTCTCCAGTAGTGAAGCCAGTTGAAGCCTTGTTACTCGCATCATGCATACATCATCCGAGTCAAGCAGTATGTCAGCATGGCTTCCGTAAAATGTGCAATAACATCTCGGCACTTAAATCGTGGGCTTAACCAAATTCGCTCTTGAGAGAGATGGTCTTCGTGGACGGAAAGTCCCACAGTGACACTTCAAGATATTGAAAATTCTTCTCTTCGTCTGTTAGCGATGGCCTGAAAACCATCTGAGTGGTCGACATTCATCGGTTTCGTTTCGACATCAATTCTCCAAACCTACACACGGTTTATTAATTTATTTCTATCGAAACTGCCTCCTTAAATTGATCCTGTTTCCCTGGTTTCTTACAGCGATGACTGCTGTTTTGGCGTCAAAAATGCCTTGTATAGCTTGTGTTTCACAGCGAAAAGGTTATCTCTCAAACATTTCCTGTTGCGCTATACGGAAACCTTTCGAAATCAAGGGTGATGCTTTTTACTGCCTGCACGAAGGAGGTGGTCTTAGCATAATATGCGTGCTATGTTCAAAGGCAGAAATCCGGATATATAGCAAGTAGAGTAGAGATTTTTAGAGTACAGTAAGGTTGGAGTTTTCTGTCGAGTCCAAGTGTGCCTCCATATGCGGAGGCAGCCCGCTTACCTAACCTAACTTAAACTAAGGTTAGAGTTGTTTTGAAAAAGTTCACTATTTATAAATAAATATCGTTACCTTAATATAGAAAGGCCCTATCTAAAATTTGTGTGTCTTTAGAGAGTAGGTACAAAACTTTATTAAATACCCAAAGTTCTTGAGTTGAGAATTTCTTCAAAATACTGGGTTTAATAAACACTGAAACTTATAGTAGTTGTATTTAAATTCTATTAGGCCGTTAGTGAGTAATCTACCGACCTTTGTACTAAGCCGAATTTCAAAAGAAAATGAGATAGTGCGCGCCTATCTATATTAAGGTAACGATATATTAAAAACAATAGAGTGTACCTCAAACAGGTGACTTATGTAAGCAAACTATATTAAAGACGTTTTATCTTTTGCTTGCTCGCTAATATTGAAATAAACGTTTCAAATTTATTTAAAAACAAAACTGCTTTTATTTGTATTGAATTGGGGGTTTCTTTAGTATAATGTATAAAAAATTGAAGCTGTAGTTAATTTTAAGGAACGCTTCAATAAAAAATTAAGAACTAACTTAACTAAGATGGGATCCATGTAAATACATATACACATGTCATAGTGCATTAGCTGAAATAAAAACTTAAACTGAACACAAACAACGACTTGAACTCATAATAGAGTTATATATATAAGTGTCATAACTAGTGCATTTCGAAAATGGATGCACTAATTTCTAAGTAATGCTACAACTATATACATATACAATACATACACTAAACTACTAATGTAAGTGTGCACAACTATGTAAAAGTAACTATATTAATATTTCATAAATGTTTCAGCCGGGTTTTATTTGCTGAAATCAATTATATACGAAACGACATTAAAAATATATAAACACAAAAAAGTAAAATAATCAAGACTTGAGAATTCAACGTGACGATAAAAATTAGTTATATGACTCAAAGTGAAGCATAGAAAATATTAAGTAGTAAATAAGACATGAAAAATATGGCTATAAATGTTCATAAACAGTCGTGTATTACGTATAAAAGTAAATAAATAAATGCCACGGATTTGGTAGTTACAATTTGTAATTCTCAGAGTTACAGACAATGGCAACGGAAAATTGTTGATGCTAAGTACGCTGTTGGAATTCCTTCTACTTGAGAAGTGTTGCTCACTCCTATCACTCCATCTAAACTTTTGCAAACTTTAATGCAAGGAAAAATAACTATTCCTTAGTCTAATTTTGTTCTTTTAACTGGCTTAATTTTTGGATTAAGACTTATTTAAACTGGGCACTTAGAATAAGTAATGAAAATATTCATCAAAACAATCGCTCGCGTGTAAATCATCCTCATCCTCGGGATTGCAACGCATCGCTATTTTGTGCGCATTTGAGTAGAGATCATTTATGTCTAGGTCATCATCTGCAAAACAGGAATTATCATAATAAGATCACCTTATGAGAATTTCAAACTGGCTCACCTACCTTTGTATTTCTGCTTTCTTGCCAGGCGCGATTTCGATAGCACCGCCTCATCCGCAATGTCCAATTCAGTGGCAGCACTGCTACGCGAATACCGCACAGGCGGTGTAAAGAACCAATAGTCACGTAGGATGCCACGAAAACCGGGCATCTCGCGGAGGAACTGCAAATCTTTTGGCTGCTTTGAGAGCGCTTTAAATGCCCGCAATTGCAGGCAATCCACTTGTGACGTGGAGTTTATCAAACGCACCACCGACCTGGCAGCCGTTGAGCAGACCATAGCATACAGGTTCACTTGTGGATCCAGTGGTATATTTGTATAGGCGACACCCAGTGAACGACGATTAAGGTAGAACTCCAAGGTGCCAAGCGCACGGTCCAAACAAGCACCGACAATACAACCCTGTGAGAACTTCTGACCATAGGGTAATTGTACGCCATTGTGCTGGATTTTGCCATTGTAGGAGAGCCCCCATGACTGGACATTGGTGCCAAGCGCCGAAACAAAATGAAACTGGAATTGATTAAGTTCAACTTTGTCGGTGCCAATACCGAACATCTGGAAGGAATTGAGAAGCGAGAATTAAATTAAATATAATCGGCTGCGAGTTGCTGATAATTACAAAAATAGCTGCTACTTCATACATACATATATGTAGGCATTAATAAATAAATATGTGCGCTTAACAACTAAGCAAAATCTTAAATTGTTTACACGTTCCTGTCCTTTTTTTAAAAACAATGTCGCATCTTTTATGTACAAAGTACTCCTTATCAGCCTACAGCTTTTGTACTTTGTATGTATAAGGCTTACACGAGCTGGATGCACAAATAGGGTTTTAAATTTACTACAGAGCTCGACAATGAATCAAAACAGCAATATAGTAAAAAAAAATACAAAAAAAAAAATACTTATGAAAAGATAAACAAACACTCAAAACTGGGGTACGTGCCATTCCTGTAGGCAATTGCGCGCTAGTGCAAGATACTTTGTGTTCCCTTCCTTATTTTTCATGCAATATCATCCTACTTAATTAGTTACACTTATTTGATAAGATAATGTAAAGTAAATTTGCAAATAATTATTAATATAATTGTACATATTGTGTTGTAGAAGATATATGTATTTATCTTCTGCGTTGCAGGGTGTCGGTTGACATTGAAATCGAATAAGTGAGGCGTAAATTAATTGGATTGCAACGAGTAATGAAGTGTGAATTGCGTCCAAGTTGTAATTTCTTTGTTTGCAGCCCTGACTGACGCTCAATAAACAGCTATTCAAATCGATTAGCAATAAAATAAAATAAAAAAAAATATATATTTTTTTTAAATAGCAATAGCATTCTTATTTGCATAGTTACCACTTCGAATATTCGAAAGATTTAATCAGTATCGTTTGCTGACGCACTAAGAGTACTAAAGCGTGATACATTTACTCTAAATTAAGTGAAATTTGTATAGTATAAATCGCGCCAATTTCATCAATTAGAACATATGTATAAATTTAAATTGCCCTATGCAGAAGATGTCCCATGTATTTTGACTACATTATAGAAATAATACATATGTACATATCTATATGGAATTGTTTTGTTAACGACTTTAACCATATGCCACCGCCTTCAATTGAAAGCAATTGACTGTCTTCTAATCAATTTCCCTCACCCATATCCGCACGTAAACATTTCAATCTCAAGTTTAGGGAAATAAGAATTAGTTTGAGATGTGAGCGGGAAGCATACGCGATTTGAATAAAAAAGCTTTAGGTTAAGCTGCAATACCTGTCTTTTGAGTGGACAGGATTTTCTAGGTATTAAGAACAAAGCGAACAAAGACCCACAAAAGCTGATATGAAGTGTGAACAGAAATTACATTGTATGTATGTTAAATCTTTGTCTACAGTGCATTTATGCATATCATTTTCACACTTTTCAAAAAATAATGACACATAATAGTAGCAGTTGCTTTGACGCATTCAAGCACCTTCCCACGAGTGGGGTCTACGTAACCGGAACGACGCGGATCGATATATGTATGTATGTATGACCAAGGACTGCTACTCCAGCTAATTCCCCAAGTCTTGTGAAATTATTATGCTGTTCCAGCAACAACGCAGCCAAGCACCTTAAAATGCTGAACTCTGTAGGATGCATACCTAAGGCGCGCAGAATTTATTGATAATGATTTTTTAGCTCGTAATTACTATGCCCGCAGTTTCCGAATTTCTTTCTTTGGGATGTTAAAAAGACTCCGCTGAATCGGAAATTTCAGTTTCAATGATATGGTGGAGTTCATTGTGCTGAAAACGAAGATTACTTGATTTCTCAAATCAATGCCCTTTTCAAAATAGACGGTACTGTTTTTATTTTTGCTAAATTATGCCTATCAACCCTTTGTAAATTGTGGCAATTTATGATTTTGTTTGAATTCAAAATTCTGTTATCAAAGAGATGATTTCAAAACAATTTAATTTAGATGCCTTTAGCTTTAGTCATCTTTTAGCGATTTAATTTATCATGATAAGGAATAAGTGCACTAAGCAAGTGTGAACATTCTATTTTGATAACAGCGACTAAAAGTATTGCTAGCTTGACCTATGCTTATCAAGCAGGCAACAACAAAAACGCATAGAATATTTCGAAAGAGGCTATTGGGTATTTTCTTATCAATACAGCATAAGAGAAAGAACTCCACTGACGTATGTATGTACATAGTATGCAAGCGAAAAATTTGAAAAAATATCGCTTAAGCTGCCTTTACATGGGCGATTTTTTGACAGGCGATAATCGCCTGCAAAAGTTGACTTGCTGTCTACTTTGAGGCAACCGATTTTTGAATCACCATTTACATGAGCGATTTTTCCAGAGCAATGTTGAATCGCCTCATGTAAAGGCAGCTTTATGAAGAAAAATCGCTCGTGTAAATGGTGATTCAAAAATAGCTTGCCTCAAAGTAGACAGCAAGTCAACTGTTGCAGTAAAGGCAGCTTTACCTTCCATTCGCGATTAGCCTCATATGCTTAAAGCACTTACATATGTATACATGTACTTATGTACATACTATGTATCGAGCCCTAACCGCCGAAATAACTAAGCGCCATTTTTTTTGCATTTAAATAAATTAATAAAATAAAAATAAAGAAATTTCTTTTTGATGCAGAAATATTCCTAGAGCATCTAGATGCATTTCTGCATACAAAAGAATATTTTGAAAAAAATGTCGCTTACGTTATTTTGGCGGATAGGGCTGGGTATGTATGTATGTACATACATATGTGTATGATTAAAAAATAATCTAAAGCAGATATTTTTATAACAAATAAAAATCAATAAGTAATTGCTGTTTTCAACGTCTAGCTTTCGACGTTTAATCACCAGCAGACAATGGGCCCAATATGAATATAACAAATTATAACCATAAACTTTTAAGTAATCAATGCCATTATAAAGTGGACAAATACGAGAAGTGTGATAATTTAGAATAAAAACATTGCAAACAAAATATGTATATGTACATATCGCTCATTTACTTCAATAGTGTCATATCTCAAAAAAGCGAAACTCGAGAAAAACGGCTTTAAAGTTTTTTAATTTACATATCGAGGGTTTATATTCAATACCTATCTCTATCTCTATCTGCACTTTTCACAAAAATGAGATTCTGCTATAAAAATCTACCTAAAACTTAACAATCATCGGTGATATTATATTAATCCTAACCTTGTATAAGGCTTGACAGAAGAATTTACTATTAAATTGCAAAGTCAGAATTAACAACAATGATGACAGGTAAGTCTCAGGTGGGTTCTAACATCACAAGTAGTTTTTATGAAAATTTCAGATAGAGGGTATTATATAAGCCCCCCCATATACTCAAATAGTAAAAATTAATATATATTTTGTTCTAGTGAGACACTGGTAGTCGATACAACCTTGAAATTTTAGCGGTAATTTTTGCATACTTAGCTCAATATTTTTTTTTTTTGGATCATGACACTATTGAAGTAAATGAGCGATATGTATATGCATTATGTATATATGTACATATAAATTTTTTAAATCAAACAAAACCAACAACTTTAACGTTATAAGCTGTAAATATATTTTGAAGAACCACAGGTGAGCACTCTGCAAAAATTTTAGGACCAGGTGGTCCACTGGGTGGTATTTCTAAAGTATGAGCAACAGGACCAGGATGCGTACTAGTAACTTGTTATGCTGACCTTGACCACTTCAAACGTAAAACACTGATACATGTGTTGAACACCATCTCTTCGTGGCCGATCGCCAATATGACTAGGTTGCCGAATGTGCCATGGTCCAAAAGGAGTAGTTGTCTAGACGGTTCCATGTTGTTGTTGTTGTAGCGGCTACAACAACCCCGCCCAGATCGGTTGGTATCTCAGTCGTTGTCGTCAAGTTCCACTAACGGCAACCCTAGGAAGCGTGCAGCTTCTGTGGGATTTGTCCACAGGGACAAGGCCGTTAGGGTTGTCGGGTTTTCCGGGCATGCGAAGAGATGTTTCGAGTCATGTGGGGTCTCTCCGCATGCCGGACACTCATTCGGCACATCCTCATTCAACCTACTCAAGTAGGAGNCCATGTTATGTAGTGGTGGTCAGGTCCAATGACATCGCAATGCTAATGTACCCATATTTTCTCCATATATTTAGACCATTTTGGTTACTAGTTTTGGTTATAAGATAGCGCGGTCGTGTACTAGTACTTAACCTAGTCCCACTTTTTGCAGGGTACGGATATGCACACACATACACAACTGCATATACATACATACATATCTAAATGATCGCATTTAAACAACGGCAGCACGCTTTGAAGACGTGCGCTTGTGCGAAATCAAGTGCAAGTTAACGAACCAGATTTAGAGTTTTTTATATGTAGAAATTGCGAATAATTATACCCAAAATACAAATTGCCTTCAAATATGACCTACTATTCTATTGCATATAGGCAAGCGATCGATTAAAGTGATAAGTCTATGTACTGGACGGGTGATGTGGTGTTATAATCTTAATAATAGAATATTAAATAACCCCATGTAATATTAATTAAATACAATGTGTAATTGTATATGAATAACGACATAACTGAAAACTAAACAGAACCCTTACTACTGTTCTCATGCCTCTTAATTCTTTTCTAAGCCATGTTTAATCAGTAAGATATAGGGATTACTAAATTAAGTAGTAAGATAGATTAGACATGGATTAGAAACATGAGGTCCCTAGTGTGTAGGTGTGTTTTTGAGTTATGTATTTATTGCAGCTTCGGTAAGCAGTGCGCGCTTCCACTCCGCAGCACCTGGGTTCAAACCCTGGTCAAAGCAACATCGCAAAAAATATAGAAAAAAGGTTTTTTCTTAACAGCGGTCGTCCCTCGGCAGGCAATGGCAAACTTCCGAGTGTATTTCTGCCATGAAAAACAGCTTCTCATAAAAATACCATCGCCGTTCGGAGTCGGCGTAAAACTGTAGGTCCCTCCGCTTTGTGTGACAACATCAAGGCGCACGCCACAAATAGGAGGAGAAGCTCGGCCAAACACTAACATATGTGTAAGCGCCAATCTATTATTATTATTATTATTTATTGCAGAGGACCACGGATACATACACAATTTGTAATACATAAAACATAAAAATAGAATGCGTCCCAAGCATAACTAGCATGTACATATGTATATCTAATTGCCTGTTTTTAACAAAATGTTATTTTTGCTCTATCAATGCCCGGGAAAATGTTTTATACTTTTTAATTGCTCAACATTTCAACATTACAAGTACCTACGCAAAATACTCACCACATCGGTACCCGCAAGTGGTGTTATGATTCGAATCTCCCAAAAATGAACCATACCCGCTTTCAACGGACGTTCACTGCGAACAATTGCAGTGCCCTGACTATAGGTGGGATGAAAGGTGATGTCAGCGCCAACAATTAAAGTGTCACTGGTTTCATTTTGCTCCCAACTCCACTGTAGACCATTGGGTTCACACATAGGGACTTCCAGTTCCTCAACGCTATTATTTATACTGGTGCTGCTTGTTTTTTGCTTTTTTTCTGTACGCTCCCCACAATTACATTTTACTAAATCTGGTATATGTCCTTTATAAGTAGCAAGCAGGACACTTTGAGGAAATTCACAATCACAAAATGGTTCAATGGCACGCTGTGTAGCGTCCAATGCATATTGGCGACGATGCGACATTTTTTGTTTTCTGGAATGTTCGGTATATGCACGTTAGTGCTTATGCTCACAATCAAAAATCTATGAATGGACGACTAATATCTAATGTTGGCCAAGATGTGCACAATAACACACACAAACACGTAAGCATGCACGCACGCAGCGAGTGATCATTTACATATGTACGCGTGGAAAATTCCACACAAGCACTTTGCCGGAGTTGGTGTTGTGGTTATTCGTTAGCGCCCACACAGAAAACTTTATAACAATTTGTAATAGCGTTTTTATTTTGTCAAGTCAAGGCTCGGTCCAAGTTAGCTAGCTACTGCTCGTCACCAATTCCGTTGAGCGACTGTGCTTATGCCGGTGAGTTGACTTCGGATGAAACTGCGGCTGTTGGTGTTGATTTCACACGAAATTACACACATATATTATCTCTGCATACGCTTCGTAAATTGTAAACAGTTTATACGCTAATGTTTAAACAAAAAAAACCAGCTGTTGATTGGTTGTTGATCAAAAAAGCTATTGGTGCTGTTGGGGGCGAAACAAATGCGATTTTAATAAATAAATAGAAACTGGAATATGCATTCACAGCTGTTTAGCAATAATAGCAACTCTGCGTATGCAAGAACAGATAGGTTAGCGTTTATCGATACGTGTACTATCGATAAAAATATAGCGGCCGCTAAGATCGCGAGAAATATGCGTGAAATAGATAGATGTGACTTAATTGTAAACACTTTTAATGCACATTACCATTTTCTTTTAAGTAATATGGTATTTTTGTTAATTTAACCACGATAAAAGATTTATAAAAGTAGTAAACATCCCTACTAGACAAACCTGACGGAAACTAATACACACACACCAGTGAACCAACACAAATGCAAGTATGAACATAATATGTGTATTTATTTATATGTGTAGTTATTTATAAGTTATTTAAATATTTTTGTATGTGAAAATACACAGAAATATGAAAAAAATTTAAAATAGTTTTTTGATCTGATTGATTTATACATCAATCTGATGAATCAGACTTGACTACTTATTGCATCAGTTATGATTAATCAGGGCTGATTGATTTATACATCAATTTGATTAATCATACGTGACTATTATTTACATCAGCTTTGATTGATCAGATCTGACTGATTTATACATCAGACTGAGTCATCAGATCTTAGTGAGTATTGTATCAGTTATGATGGTTAATACCTGACAAAATTGTCCATCAGCTCTTATTGGTAAGATCTGAGGAATCTTTCCATACGAGCTGAGTTGATTAAATAAGGCGAGTGAGTAGTGCAAACATATGTTGCTAATATTTACAAATACGGCTAAAACCCACATGTTAAAATGAGAGGCAAAATCACACCTACAGGAAAGTATCCATCAGATTTTTCAAAACCGCTGTAGAAACCTGATGTATAATCTGAGGGGTTAATACTCCAAGGCTGATACTCAGATGATTCATCAGTGATCACTCAGTTGTCCCGTAGGGATACGAGGGTTGCAACTGAACACCAAAGTTGGTGCTGCCAGACGATTTTAATAATGTCAAAAGTAATATCACAGAAGTTTTGACGCCACATTTTAGGTTTAAGGTAAATTTGGCTTGGAAAAGGGGCTGAACACCTCTTGCCTAGAAAACATTTCTGCGTTATCCTTCTTTCACATAAAGCGAAGCGCACATTGGCGCGATTCTGTCGTTGCGAATCCGCAAGCCCAAAAATTACAACAATGCTACCCATACATTTTAATGCGCTAGCGCACACTTGCACGATTCCGTCGCTGCGAATTTTTCGAACATTCAATGTTCCTCTTTATTGACGCGTTCGAAATGCCTTAAATACAATACCGGCGAACGGCAAACTTCGCCGAATTGGGCGATGCTGTCGTTCACCGTTCGCCCAGCTATTTCGCCTACTTAAACAGAATTAGAGCGGTAGCGAAAACAGCTGATCCCATTTGGTCGCCTTTATAATTTGGGTGACCATATTTAGAAAAAACTAAACCATATTTAGAAATGAGGAAATGATAACAAATATAAATNGAAATAAATCTATCGCCATGAAACGCCGCCAAGCGAACTTCGCATTTCGCATTTGCTGTGTTCAATTTCATATGCGTGCGGGTGTTCTAATTTTGACAGCGCGAATTTCGCTGTGGTGAGTTCGCCTTTCGCCGGCATTGTATTTCAGCTAAAACGCGGCTTGCAGCGTTTTGAAGGCGTCAAAGAAGAAGAAGAAAGGTGTCACAGCAATAAAGGCAAAGAAAAAAAAACGTGTAATGTACAAAAACTAATAAAAACGTTCGTAATAATAGTATTTTGTACGATTTGGGCACGCCGAGTGCGAAAATACACGAAATAAAGGGAAAATTGAGTGAATTGTACATCGGAAATCGACGCGAAAAAATCGCTCAAGTGTGCGCACGTTTGCGGATTCGAAGTTAACAGCCGAATTCGCAACGTATTCGCAACGACAGAATCGCGCCAATGTGCGCTTCGCTTAACATTTTAGATTTAGTTAATTATTTTATCCATTAATTAATTAAATTTAACTTGATTCAACTTAACTTAATTTAATTTTACCTTCTTTGGGTTTTCACTTTGCTTTACATGTACATTAGACCTTATTACCTTACATAAAAAAAAAAAATTCTCCGACCACCAATGAGTCTAAAGCTGCCTTTACATGAAGTGATTTTTTAGGCCATTCATCATCGCTGAGAAAAAATCGCTCGTGTAAATGATGATTCAAAAATCGCTTGCCGAGGCCGAGGAAGCAAGTGGTGTCGATAGGCGGAGTACACAGTGCTTCTTGTGTCAGGGTCGTAAGGTTGAAGGTGCATGCGAAAAGATGTTGGGTGTTGTGTGGTCTTTGTTCGCATGCTGGGCCGATATTTGCCACCTTTGAGTTCCGCGGTAAACTGCCGACCAGAAAGATTTTGTAGCTTTACATTTCGTGGTTTCCACGCAGTGCTTGCTGTGACGACCATAAAATTATCTGTCCAGTAGTTGTCCATATATTGTCCCAGCAACTTCAATGCCCTCCCTGCGTGGAGAGACGACCTTAAGGATGCCCTGACAAGCCAACTCATCGCTGTTGCAGTTTTATGGAAGATCACAATGCCCTACGACCCGAACAGGTCAGG